TAATCAATTAACTTGAATAAAAATTATTCTAATTCTTTTAAGAACAACAACACTTCGATAATTTTAATTATCGAAGTGTTTGCGTAATATTTAAATTTAGATTATTGAAAAAAATATATAATTTACGCAGTAAAATCGGTTACAATAATTGGGACTAATAATTAAGCTTATATATTACTTACCCCTTTATTTATGAATATAAGTTTTGACGTACAAACCTCTCGTAAACCTAGTTTAGTTTTTAAACTGTTTTGTCTCTTTCTTTTGTGCTAAATTCCCAATTTGAAAGAGAGTGACAAAATACTGAAAGTAGGTTTTTAGAAGGTATTAGTTTTTATGAATAAGGGGATAAATGTTTTTGATCAAAATATAAATATGAATAAACATACACACATAATAAAGGATTTACTCTTTTTAAATTGCCTTGAAAGATTAATAAAACTGAAATTTTTGCGAGATTCTTTTACCAAATATAATAGATTAAGAATAATACCTGAGTACCGCTACGTTAGTATTTTTTTATACAACTTAGAATGGCAAACAAGCTGACGGCCCACCTGATGGAAAGTGGTAACCGTCGCCTATAGACATGAGCAGTACCATGGACATAACAGAGTATACTGTTTCGTCCATGATACCCCCATGCGTTGCCATTCCTGAGGACTCAGGTGTTATTCCTCTGTACCCAGTAAATTCAATTTATTTATTATTCTATGTCGCAGATGTAAATTTGTCGTCATACGGTAACATAAACTCTAACCCTTACCTTATACATAAAAACTAAAAGCTTCTACAAATCTACTTTAACTATTACACTGTTTTGTCACATTCTTTCAAATTGGGAATTTAGTGTAAAAGAAAGAGACAAAGCAGATCAATAGCTAAAATAGGTTTATGAGAGATTTGGCGTTTTTATGAATAAGGAGGTACGCCTCTACGCCTCGCGTTAGTTACGTAGCTATCGTAGCGCAATGTTGGAGCGTGTTGTCTTCGCCCTAATGCTACGAGAGTTCGTAGCGGTTGCTACGACATTTATACATGTATATCTTACTAGCTTTGTATAATGTACACGTACTAGCTTTTTGCCTGCTACTATGTATGAGTGGATTTTAGAATAGGAAAACTAAAGATATAGATCGGTTCTAGATGGCATATTAAAATAAAACGTGTGCCAAATTTTAAATTAGACCTTTAGGAATATATAAATACGGTTGTTATTCAATTTAGTTCAGCAGTTTTTGCCTGGTACCAGAACAAACATACAGAGAGATAGACGCAATGTCTAGAAACTATTGTTTTGGTTTTTGTTGTTCTTGTTAAGACCTCTCATATACATTTTTCTTAATATCTTCCGTTTACATATGATGTATGTGAATCTAATTAAATTTTTATTATTAGTAAGAGAATACATTTTTTCTTGTGCAATTGCTAACTTTAGTAAGCATGGCATATCTTTTTTTGTAATAAATATTTTTTTAAAACATATAATACAGTTTACAATAATACATAATTGTTTGATACAAAATCTTTTTATTGTTATAATATATATACTAGTTTTTGCCCGCGACTTCCTCCGCGTGACTGAGATATGTTTATTAATCGAGACAAAAAGGAGGCTATACTCTTCTCTATCGGGGAGAAAGGGATTATTAGCAATGGAATTTGACAGCCCCATTGCTACCAATATGCCCTATTAGGTCGACCTCTACGTGGTTTCCCCTGGAAACCATCGTGAACAATTCTTGTTGAATTCGTCACGATGGACTAACTGACCTGCTTCATCCTCACCTATCATCCTTCACTGGTGCCCCGCCGGTGTATACTGTTAGCACGGGTGGGGGAGAAGGGATTGTTTGTAATGGAGATTAGTAGCCTCTATTGCTAGCAATATACCCTATTAGGCCGACCTCTACGTGGTTTCCCCTGGAAACCATCGTGAACAATTCTTGTTGAATTCGTCATGATGGACTAACTGACCTGCTTCAACCTCACCTATCATCCTTCACTGGTGCCCCGCCGGTGTATACTGTTAGCGCCGGTGGGGGAGGAGGGATTGTTTATAATGGAGATTAGTAGCCTCTATTGCTAGCAATACACCCTATTAGGCCGACCTCTACGTGGTTTCCCCTGGAAACCATCGTGAACAATTCTTGTTGAATTCATCATGATGGACTAACTGACCTGCTTCAACCTCACCTATCATCCTTCACTGGTGCACCGCCGGTGTATACTGTTAGCGCCGGTGGGGGAGGAGGGATTGTTTATAATGGAGATTAGTAGCCTCTATTGCTAGCAATACACCCTATTAGGCCGACCTCTACGTGGTTTCCCCTGGAAACCATCGTGAACAATTCTTGTTGAATTCGTCACGATGGACTAACTGACCTGCTTCATCCTCACCTATCATCCTTCACTGGTGCCCCGCCGGTGTATACTGTTAGCGCGGGTGGGGTTACCATTCCATTATCACCCATAAAAAAAACCCTTCTCTATTCCATATAGTATGTATATAATCCTCTGTATTCACTTTTGTCACTTTCTTTCAAATGGAGAATATAGTGTAAAAGAAAGAGACAAAACAGTTCAATAGCTAAAATTAGTTTACGAGAGTTTTGACGTTTTTATGAATAAGGGGATTATTCTTTTGTACAACGGAAGATAATATTGGAGAACAGATCAAATGGGGTTTTTTATTCAATTTAGAATGGCGAGCAAGCCGACGGTCCACCTAATGGAAAGTTGTAATTGTAACCGTTGCCTATAGAAATGAACAGTGAATATACTGTGACGCCGATGACACCAATAATTTTTTTTATGCAACTTAGAATGTTTACTGAATGTATCCCACCCTTCAAACTGAAACACAGCCATGCAAACACAACTGCTTCACGGTCGAAACATGAATGGGACAGAGGTACCCAAGCAATCGACTTTTGTACAAAGTCTCCCTCTGGCGTTTCTTCCTCATTGTGACATTGAAGTTAAATGAAAATAAATAAATGCCATTGGACATATTTATTACGCAGCGCCATCTAGTAGTACTAGTAAGCAGAGTTTGTACTGTGCTATCTGAGTAACTGATAGAAATATTTAAATACCTATATTTTTCATAAATGCATGCATATTGTTATGATATAGCTTTATAACTTGTAATAAGATTGTGTTCCACATAAAAATAACAATTAATTGTGGCAAAACCATTAATTTTGATTTAAAAACTAAACTAGTGAACCGTTGTTGATAAAGTATACCCTATCGCATAAAAAATATTTTTTTAAATCGACTTGCAACTAACGAAGTTATGAGGTTACACACGGTCAACACGGGAAGTCGGTTGAAAAGATTGATCTGGAAGCTTCTCCTTAAAATGCATAGTTCGGATAGATGTATCCTCTTAAAGTGAAGAAAACTAACTCAATTGTGACTACTGTGAGCTAATAAGGACCTAGAAGACTCCTTAGCGATTCGAATTATTAATTTGGTATTCAGCCCATAATTGTTGTAACTAAACGTACTTCTATCTTCATGACTTAGTATTCAATTACGCATGTAACAAATATATACACAGAAATCAGCTGAACTAATACAAACACTCATACATGATACTGATATTACATACATAAAAATGTAGATGATTACCAGAGGGAGACTTTGTACAAAAGTCGATTGCTTGGGTACCTCTGTCCCATTCGTGTTTCAACCGTGGAGCAGTTGTGTTTGCTTGGCTGTGTTTCGGTTTGAAGGGTGGGATATGGCGTGAATTTACTGGGTACAGAGGAATAACACCTGAGTCCTCAGGAATGGCAACGCATGGGGGGTATCATGGGAGAAACAGTATACTCTTTTATGTCCATGGTACTGCTCATGTCTATAGGCGACAGTTACCACTTTTCATCAGGTGGGCCGTCAGCTTGTTTGCCATTCTAAGTTGTATAAAAAAAAAGATGAATTTAGATCCGCCATCTTTTTGAAGACGATTGAAAAAGAAAAAAAATATGATTGTATTATCACAAAGAATAATATTTGCGTTACATAGGTAGGTATGTTCATATTCTCGAAGCGAATAATTTAACAATTTGCTCGTTCACCGTTTTCCCTTCTGTTTCATTAAATTTACGTTAACTTTTGATATTGCTGACTACTGAGAATTTGATTGCTTCCAGCCTTCCGGCGTTACTGTGAGAGGAGAAGTCATACATAAATATGTATATACGTTACTGTAACAGCCCGTACATTGATATATTTTAAGTTTACCCAGTAAATGATTTTATCATCATTATAAAAGATTTTTTGGGGGTTTTACCAAACCAAATCTAATTGAACCTATCTTTCTGACCACAAGTATGAGCGCTGTGCCTTAAAAATGTCTTAATATTATGTCTTTTTTTTATATTCATCACGTCTGTGATGTAAATATAGATTATTTTAGATTTATCGTAATTCGGGTTTTCATTTTTTTTGCAGTAACATACATGTTTATTATTATTTTAATTACGAAAATTTGTAAACATGTTTGTATGTTTATTACTTGTATGTTACAATTACGCTTAAATAAATGAATGGATTTAAATTAAATTTGGTATAGGGGTATTAGGTTTATACACTGAGTCTCGTGAATAGAGCTGTGAGAAACAATTATAATATCATATAAGCTCTTAACTGTCCACTGTTAAACATAGGCCTCCTCCATAAGGGTAGGGGGGTGGGGGGGGGGGTTTGGCAACCAAAGTTAGTATTTTGCTGAACTACGTATTATTAAATAACCAACTGCAGTTAGGTTTTGGTGATATTTTAAGAGCAACGTTGCTGCCCGCCCTTCCACTATTAAGATTCCTTAGTCGCGTCTTACGACACCCATGGAATAGGAAGGGGTGGCCCATTTCATGCCGGGACCATACGGCAAAAGGATATTGATCAAATGCAATTTAAAGATTATTATTCTTACATGTAGAACTAGTTATTAGTTATTTTGTAAGTAATTAGATAATTTTTTGGCGCAGGTGATCTGTGGTGGGCAGCGGACAGCCGCGGCGCAAACCCACATGCTGACGATATGGTGAGTATTGCATCGAATGTATAAAATGTTTCCTTTTATGATCTATGTAAAGTACGTTTTTCATTAAAAATGCATTTTACACTTTACAGAAATTGTTTATATCTTTGCCGCGGTATGAATAATTAATAATAAGAAGCATAGTCGAAATCTATACTAATATTATAAAAAGGAAAGTCTGCTGTTTTGTTTGTAATGGATAAACTTAAAATCTACTCAACCGATTTTAAAACTTCTTTTACCAATAGAAAGCTAAATTATCATCGAGTAACCCATAATCTACATATTATTTTTGAAAAATCTATTGACCCGTACGAAGACGGGTCGGATTGATGGTATAAAAATAATTTGTGAACCTCTTTTTGGTCATATAATCATGCGGTTTGTTTGTGAACAAAATTATATAGACATTTCAACTGTGTTTCTTTTCTTTAGTTCTTCAATTTGGTATATCTTGGTGTATATAGAGAAGAAGGAGATTGTGGGCAATGATATTTACCAGCCCGTTTCCTAGCAATATACTTTATCAGATCGTATTCTTTTTTTATTCTTGTTAAACATATCAGACTGGATTAACTGACCTGCTTTTATCCTCACTTATAATCTCTCACTGATGCCTCGCCAGTGTCTGATAGCGCAAGTAGGGCACCACCATTTTATTTAAATCCATATAAAACCCTTGTATGTTGCTGTAAAAGTCCGCACACCTACCCGTAAATCAGTTTATTGGATAGTATTAATTCTCGTAGCCAGATATGTTAAGTTTGGTTTGACGAATGCCCGAAAAACTATTTTTTTTTTAATTAAATCTTTACATTTACCAACTCATGTTGGTAAATGTAAAGATTTATTATTAAAAATTACCATTGTACGGGCTTTTATAATATATATATATATATATATATATATATATATATATATATATATATATATATATATATATATATATATATATATATATATATATATATATACTGTCGCCTATAGACATGAGCAGTACCGTGGACATAACAGAGTATACTGTTCCGCCCATGATACTTTCCATGCGTTCCATGCATTCCTGAGGACTCAGGTGTTATTCCTCTGTACCTTGTAAATTCACGCCATATCCCACCTGTCAAACCGAAATACAGCTACGCAAACACAACTGCTTTCCGGTTGAAACACGAATGTGACAGAGGTACCCAAGCAAACGACTTGTATAAAGTTTCCCTCTGTTAGCAGTAATAAACATTGAGTCAATCCAGGAGCAGGACAGGTCTTATCCTCCCTGGCGCCCCTGTGCACGATTTTGATTTCTTCTCTTGACGACGAAAAATGTCATCAGGTACTCGTCTTTGTTTGTATCAAGTAGAATTTGAGGCAACCCCAATTTTGACCGGACCCTATTCCTGATTCAATTCTGAGATAGTATTTTTACTTAATCTATTTTAAACTGCTTAACAGGTTTCGATAAAATTTTGTTTAGGAACCGACAGATTGTATGCCGAAGTTTGGATTATAGCAAATATAAATATTATATACAATAGATTATAATGTTTTTCAAAACAGCGACATCTGTGTTTTAAGTACAATATTAACACCCCTCAGTGTGTACCACGGAAGCTTTAGAGAACAAAGTCATTTCAGCACCACTCGTTAGATGTCGCTAATATATTATTTTAATGGCGTTAGGTACTTTAAATTTTTATATAAATTGTCATAAGTGTAATATGATGACTAATGATGAAGAATACTAAAATATGAATATAAATAAAATATAATAATGAACTTAAATATAATATAAATTATAAAACAATTCATACTTTTCATTGGTTCAAAACAGGCATGTACGTACAAAAAACATAGTTGAATAATTTAACAACACGTTTTCAAAGTCGGCCAGAAAAGTACAAAATAGCTAATTTATTATTAAGTGTACATCAATCAACTTGAATAATCCATAGAGATTACTCAAGACATTTTTATTATAAAATGCTTAAATTGTTTCTGCTAGACAAATCCGCTTTTCATAAAAACGTCATACCAGTTTCAGCTATTGACAGGTTATTTTGAGAATAACAATTTATTCTCTAATTGTTAGTTATAAAATATCAGATATCACATCTGTTATTTGTGTCGCTTATTGCAAAATGTTGCGTCATCAAATTAAAGCCAGAAGTTACGAAAATAAAACTTTAATATTTTTAGTTCTTCTACAAATCGCTTGAGAGCGCTACTTGCCTTGTAAAGCGATGTCATGTGAGTCCTTATAATGTACTTGTAATGCCACTAAATAATAACTGATTCAGTGGTTCAAATATTCCAATCTGATGTTTATGCTTAACCGATTCGTCGGTTTAGAATTTACTTCATATTGATTAAGTAAGGTAAGTTAGCCATTCGTAACAATTCTCTCGTTTCAAAGGACCCGGATGGACATTAACCTATTAGTATGTTATATAAATGACATTATTTCAGCCGTTAACTGTCCAATGCTGAACATAAGCCTTCCCCATAAGGAGAGATTTGCCAGTAGTTGCCACACTTAACAGGCGGGTTGGCATCCGCAGTTAGGTTTTTAGAGATGTTTTAAGAGGGACGTTGCTGCCCATTCCTCGCCCTCCCTTAGTCGACACTCGGAGAAGTCGTCACGGGAAGAAAAGGAATGGCCCATTCTATGCCGGGGGCACACACGGATTTTGAGATATACCTACTATCAATTAATTTATTGATTTTTTTGCGAATTTAAAATTAATATAATATTATAAGAATTACTTAGTAATCTTTATTCTTTATTTATTAAAGGAACACCAACAGCATATTGCATTATAACACATATAACAAACATTAAATACAATACAATATTAATACAATATTGTTATGGTATACGGCTAGTAATGGGGCTGCTTGTCCCGTATCAGAATATCATATTAAATTATTTGTAACTATGATCTGGCTTAGCTTTGTATGGGTAGATAGAATTTTCGAAAATAATATACGAGTATAACTTATGTTGTTTGCTGACAATATAGCTTTCTATAGGTGAAATAATTTTTAAATAAGGTTATGTAGTTTTTGAGTTTATGCTTTACAAATAAACAATCAAGTCTCACCTCTTTATAATATTAGTACTTATAGACTAGCATTTGCCTGCTACTTCGTAGGCGTGGATTTCTGAAGATAGAAAACCAATTAGAAACACCATTACTAGATGGGGTATTAATATAAAACATACACTTGATCTTAAGTTAGACCTTCAGGAATATAACTGTGAAAACCTCATCCATTTTAGAGCAGCAACTTTTGCGTTATGCCGAAACAAATAGAAAGAATTTCTAAAATCAATTGTTTCTGCATTTATTAGTCCTATTAAGATTCATTACACAAATAATTTTTTCTTAGCTATCTCCCATGTATTTTTTTTTGTGGATGATAATGGAATGGTAACCCCGCTTGCGCTATCGGTATACACTGGCGGGGCACCAGTGAGGGATGACAGGTGAAGATGAAGTAGGTCAGTTAGCCCACTATGCTGAATTTAACAATAAATCAATCACGATGGTTTCTAGAGGGAACCACGAGGAGGTTGACCTGATATAGTACGAGTATATTGCTAGCAATGGGGCTACTTATCCCCATTACTAACAATCCTTTCTCTTCCCTCTTCCATGTTAGTAAGTTAATTTTTACGTGTGCAGGATACAGTATGGCCGCGGCATATTGGCTCAACTCGCTGGGATGTCTGTCGCTGTCGTTAATTTGTCTCTTCACCACTACTCTTCAAACCACAAACGGTGAGTATCTTTAGTAATATTAATAATTTTATTTGCTTTGCGATTCAAATAATAACAAAATTTATTTATTTATTTTACACTTTATTGCATCAAGTAAAAAAAAAAATGCAGTATTTTTTCCTTTTTTTAATTAATGGCAAACAAGCTGACGGCCCACCTGATGGAAAGTGGTAACCGTCGCCTATAGACATGAGCAGTACCATGAACATAACAGAGTATAATGTTTCGCCCATGATACTCCCCATGCGTTGCCGTTCCTGAGGACTCAGGTATTATTCCTCTGTACCCTGTAAATTCACTGCCATATCAAATCGAGACACAGCTATGTAAACACAACTGCTTCACGGTAGAAACACGAATGGGACAGAGGTGCCCAAGCAAACGACTTTCCAACAAAGAACTTATTGTGTATAGGTTTCAGATGAATAACTACGTAAAGCTAAATCCAAAACAGCCACTTCAAATCCGCTTTCATGTCTGTGACGTAACATTTGATCGTATATGGCGCCCATTATAGGTACTTTTCGATTTTGTCATTCGTGCATATTTGAAAAATTCACCCTTCTTGAGTTCGAATTCATTATTAATCTCGAAACATCCCCGAATTTACCGTCTGTTTATAATTTAAAGGAAAGAGGATGTTTTAAACCGGCACCCACTTTGTATTTACCGCGACCCCTGAAGGGATCCGAAATGCACTGAAAATGAGTTCGCGGTGTCGGAAGATAAGTGCTGTCACTCGTCACCTCTGAGCGAAATTTATATTTATCTATTTTCTTAATCCATTACTTTGAATAATTAGTTGAAACGCTACTTCCCTCGCCAGCATAAAGCACCTGCTCAGTATTGTAATGGTAGGCTAATAACAAAGTACATATAAGAGTGGTAGTTTTTTTATGTATGATCGGTATTCGCTGGCGGGGCACCAGTGAGGGATGATAGGTGAGGATGAAGTAGGTCAGTTAGCCTATCGTGATGATTTCAAGAATCAACCACGATGGTTTCTAGGGGGAACCTCGTGGAAATCGATCTGAGAGGTTATTTTTTTTATTTTTTATTTAATACTTTATTGTACATATTACTTATAAAAATATGACAGAGGTAAACAAAAGTACAAAGGCGAGCTTAACTCTGATAGAGTTTTCTTTTAGCAACACCCAAAGTGGAAAGGAGCATCAATGTCAGCGGATTTTTTTAAACAGACAAAATTAAATTAATTACATTATATTTTATCGTACAAATACACATATACATACATATTATTATGGTTATGTTGCTAGCAATGGGGTATTTTCATTTTTTCCCCTTCAATAGTGTATAGACACTATTTTGTAAAAATAGTTCAGATCGAGCAAAGTGTTGCTCAACATACGGATATATACACACATTTGCCGATAAAATATTGCACAATGAATTTTAAAATTCTTTTTTTTTTCATAGATCAAACAAAAGAAATTCTCGCTCATTTCCTTTAAGAAAATGTATGGATAGTCGAATATCTTTAAATATTTTTTTTATACCACTGAGGTGGTAAACAAGCGTACCTTACTTACAGGGCTTACCTGATGGTAAGCGATTAAAAGCTTTAGAAATAAAAGCTTCATCAAATTGCATCTACAACTCTTTAGTTCAATCCTGAAAATCTAGCATATGTGTGGTACAGATATCCTCCCGGAGACCGGCGTGTCCTTCGAGAAATAAATCTCTCCCGCTCTAACACTGTACTAGTACAGCATCTGTCTCGCTCTGCGGTTGTCGTAAGCCGATCAATAAGGATCAGATTATAAATTCGAGAATGCCTGATAGCATTTCGTATAAGGGATGAAAATTCCCGTAATGACGTCTCATGGTCCAGTGCTGTTGGGTTGATATCTTTTTAAATTGGGTAAAATGTAATCCATTTATGGATATATGGGAAAGTAATCTTCAACTTATAAAGTCGTTTGTCCTCACTTACTTAATGTCAACACAAATAAAACTACTGTTTATAAAGCTACTGTATTTAAAGCATAGGTTTATATCAAAACGTAAGCATCCGTTAAGCAAGGTATTTAAAATGAATCTGTTTAGATAAATTTATAATTGTAGATTTTTATAAGAAAAGAAAATTGAAAATAAATAAATTATAGCAAAATATATAATCACGTCAACAGACGATATTTTTATTTAAAATTAATATAATTAATAAATAATAATATACAATAAAAAGAACCAGCGTATTTATAAACATAACAAGTGGTCCTTCGAGCCGGATATAGAAATTTATAAACAAGGATTTTTGAAAATTTCAACATATATTATAAATACGACACCACGCGCCCAAAGCCGCGGACGGCAGCTAGTATGTATATATTGTAAAAAAGATTATTGTATTTGGAGTTAAAAATTTACAAAAATCCTTAGCGGAAGTTTACATTCTCATATAAAATAAATTTATGTTTCGAATGTCAGCTTTCTAGACTTGTTCCTTTATTCATAAAAAAACTAAGAACAAGGATAAAAACGTCAAACCTGTCATAAACCTATTTTAGTTATCCGAGTGTTTCGTTTTTTTCTTTTCCGCTTATTTCTCAATTTGAAAGATAGCGACAAAACATTTCAATAGCTTAAATAGGTTTGTAGGACGGTTTAGTTGTTATGAATAAGCGAGTTTGTAATTTTGACTGTGTATTAATAATTGGTCTAGACAAACGATTCATAATAATTATAGATTATCGAATGAACTTTATTTTCGAAACAGTTAATTGAAGTTTTTAAACTCTATTATTCTAACGATATAAATAGTCAAGGTTTGGTCGAAGTTGCCCCAACTTGTGTTAAACAAGGCAGTTAAACTTAGGTTTTTTAATAGATAAAAGAAGAATGAAATATCCAAACTAGAAGAACAAGCCTAACCTAGTGTTACCCTATTAACAATCGGCAAAACAATCCATCGATAGATAAGTTATCGCTACCGCGTTAAGAACAACGACTTACATCTCGTTCTTTTGGGGGGGAAAGGGATTATTAGCAATGGAGTTTGACAGCCCCATTGCTAGCAATATGCCTTATTAGGTCGACCTCCACGTGGTTCCCCCTGAAAACCATCGTGAGTAATTCTTGATGAATTCGTCACGATGGGCCAACTGACCTGCTTCATCCTCACCAATCATCCTTCATTGGTGCCCCGCCAGCGTATCCAGATAGCGCAGGCGGGGTTACCAATCCATTATCACCCATTAAAAAAAATCGCGTTCTTTTGGAGGAAAGGAATTGTTAGTAATGGGACTTTAATCACCATTTCTGTTCACAATAGGCAAACTGGCCTGCTTCATCTTCATCTATCACCACCCACTAGCGTCCCGTCAGCGTATACCGATGCGTAGGCGGGGTTACCATTCCATTCTTTACCCATATAAATTTAGATCTTTTTTAGCGTGGGCTAAAGGAAAAGTATATGTATAAAGGGACAAGTCTAAAGAATTTAACTACTATAAAATTTTTTTATGCAACTTAGAATGTCAAATAAGCTGACGACCCGGTGGGTTGTGGAATGGAAAGTAGTAACTGTCATTTATAGACATGAACAGCACCATGGATATAATACAGACTATACTGTGATATTCAGGTTGATATAACCGACTGAGGGAGACGTTGAAATAAAGTCCTCAAATTTATCAATTTCTGCCGACAAGTTGTGCAAGCGTGTAAGTTTACAATGTAATTACTGTATATATATATATATATATATATATATATATATATATATATATATATATATATATATATATATATATATATATATATATATATATATATATATATATGTGTGTGTATATATATATATATATACACACTTATGTTTTTTACGTGGCGAGGGATACTTTTGGTGTTGTAAGCATTTTTAGAATATACTCGTAGTGATCTATAAATCCTACTTCTGTTTTTTTTATTAGTTCTTCCTTGCATTGTCGTGTTACAAGGAGTCTTTTATCTTGCGTCTATTTTCCTTCTCATTGACAATTTTTTGTCTTGTGTCTAACTTTTTTTTTTTTAATTTTTATTTGATAGTCACAGATAGAGCGATATTTCTTTTAATCTTTTATTATACCATGCCAAGGAAAGGCACTTATATAATATAATAAGGTTTTGACATGGTTTATTGTACTCGGTTATTTAATAGTTATTACAAGGGGTTTAACGGCCACCCTTGTATAAAACACTACATGATAATTTTCCTACGTTCAGACATCATTACATTTCTTGTACAATAGATTTGTTATTCTAGTTCTACACCGTTGTTTTGTTTTCCTCCTTTCAGCCCAGTCATTAGCTAATTACTCGAACGAGCCTAAATGCGAAAACATAAACACATTTTTGGCGCTAAAAATAATTTTTAGAGAGTAGGTATTCAAGAAAATGAGAGTCTCCAGAATATTTCTAAAATAATGTTTCTGTCCAAAGTACTTATTCTGCGTATAGAGTCCTGAATTTTGGTAAACATTTAATGAGGACGCCATAATTTTTTTGGAAGTTATGAGTTACAAAGTCTTCGCTCCCAAGCGGTGGTAAGAGGACTGGATGATGGCGTGTGGCACATACCCCGCGTGCCTAAATGTTTGATTCCACTTCCGCTGCAGCTGGGGTCTGCAGACGACTGCAACAGTACCAGGGGATTCCGGTATTCTGGATTAAAATTCTGGTCATCAGGGTGTCCCGCTGGTAGAAGTCTAGCAGCACCCATACGGTCTCTGAGCTGCGTAGGCTGTATGATGTATTATTCTTAACGTACTGATTTTCTTGAAAAAAAAAATTAAAAAAAAATCGTCCTCATTATTTGATACAGACGTCGGATCTCTGGACTTTAGGAAAAGAATGGTGATTATTGAAGGAGCAAAAGCGAACGTTATGTTTCATCTAAGAAAGGACGTCATTTTTTCTGAATAGATTACATAATATACAAATAAAAACTATATAAAAATTTACTTTAAAGATATTACAAGATTCGATGTTAGTCATAA